TAACAAAATTCCATATCTCTGGTAAGGAGACACAAAAGGTGTAGAAATGTTTAAACTTAACCATTTTATAGAACATGTGCATGCAGTTCACAGCAGATTTACAGATATGTGCTATGTACTAAGTAAAACATAGTAGGTCCCTCCTTTCAAAAGAGTTTTCTAAAGATAATTTGCAGTGAGAACCTGGAAGCGTTAAAGCAAATTAGGAGACCTAAGCTGAATTTCAGAGATTATATAAATATAAACAAGTATTTTTGCTGGTAGAATACTATTTTCTTGGTCACACCTAGGTATATATATATATATATAATTTTTTTTGCCATATTTTGCCTTTCCACAGGCATTTAGTTTTGCAGGAAAAGCAGTGACAGTTAACTGGATTCATTATGTTCTTTGTTCTCTAGAATTACATGTACCTCTCAAAGTCAGCAAAGGTGGAGGCAAAAGAAAGAAAGAAAAAAAAAAGGGAAGAAAGAAATTACTCAATTGGCACAAATATTATGGCTTTTTACTGCTATGATGTATAGTAAAAGCATGCAATATTTTTTTTTCTTGGAAACACTGTGAAAATATTACTCTGAAGGAGAGAGATTTATTACCTATTGATTAAACAAAATGCAAGTTTGAGTAATGGTGTTCTCTCTCTCCGTGTTTATTCTTCTCCAGAGCTGGGTTTGCAGTACGATGCATTACATACAGCTGTGAAGTTTTATTGACACGCATGTGGTGCAGTTATTCCAGTTATGCCAGCTGAAGGGATGTTTCAGTTTAACAAATTTATTGTGTTTTATGGTTCCTGGAAAAACCTGTCAGATGTGAATAGTACCATATTACAAAAACACAAGGTTGCTGCGAACAAGAACACATCTTCTTTTATTCAGATTTGCAACAATATGGATGAGGAACAAAAAAAAGAAAAAACTGGAATAGGCAGTAATTATTTTTAGCTGTAAAAGAGAAAGATGTAGGAGTGACCATATCAGGAAAAAAGTATTTAAATCAGGGAGTTAAACTGTACCAAGTAAAGCTGATGGTAAAACTCATTTTGAGAAGCAAATCCTCAGGGTACTTTGCTTGTAAATGGTGAGAAAGACTGTGAGGGAAATATCTTCGACTAGAAATAATCAGTGCTTAGGGTGGTATCAGTAAGTGTGACTTTACAGCAGAGGTGGCAGTGATGAAACACATGCCCTCCAGATCATGTGCCTGTTTCCAAGATCCACGCTGCCTAAAGGGAGCAAACCTGTGTTTGTGCACAGCAGTGTCAGCTCCCCAGCTCATGTAGCACCCCATCCCTATCCTGAAGGGCCCAAGGAAGGCGCCACGCCTGCCAAGGCATAAATTGAGGGAATTAACTTAGATGTCTTCTGAAAGGTTTGATGTTAGGATCCAAGTCCAGTCTGTGCGTTGCTGACAGTGATTTGTTCTACAATACTCCAAGGATCTAACAGTGCTAATGGTTACAGACAATCTTGCTCTCCAAGTCCATTCAGTTATTTCCCTTCTCTGTTTTCAGGCTCATGAGGGAAGAAGCAGTGTACTGTCTGCCATCATCAGCTGAATCAAAGGGAGAAACAAAGGGTTGCTGGGATTATCTGTGCGCAATCCCTGTAGGCCCATTCAGAAGGATGAAGAAATGTATGTAGAGTTCCCAAGAGCTGCTGCCTGTAGTGCAGCATGATACAGCAGAAACAAGCCAACCAAACAAGAAACAGAAAACCCCAATATGATCAAAGAATGGCAAGGACAGTGATTTTAGACTTACAGTGGGATGGAGATTAATTTGAATAGTGTAATTATTATAGCCTTTTATTTTGGTGAGGGAGCACAGCAGGCCAGATTGTCACTGTTGACCCTATGTCTGCATGTTGAATTCATCATGTCTGACTTCAGTAGAGGAATGCTGCTGTCTGTAGTGCATTGCAGACCTGTGTCACACACGAAATGGCAGGGCTTGCTTTTCAGGAGAGGAAATTAGCTGTGCTGCTTCAGTGCAAGAGGAACCATGATTACTATAAGGGTATTATGTACAAAGGGAGGAAAAATGATTCCTCAAAGTCATGCTGAAACTTTTACAGAATCTGTTCCAAATAAAGGTACCCATTTTTTCCAAGAAACTTCCAATATTTTTCACATTTCCAGATCTACCGAGAATGATTTTTTCACAGTTCAGCATATTTTTCCGTATCTGGTTACTAATGATCTCCCCAGCAAGCCGAATTCCAACAGCTGTACCTAATCATTGTAATGCTCCCTCGTGGTGACTTGGATTATAGCATGTTATTTCTGTTCACTTCTCCAGCTGTGTTAGTTATCTCTAAACCAGGTCTAGCACTTGCTAAATGCAAAATGTCATGCAAATGCATTAAGTGCATGAGAGGTCCCATTAAGACTTCCATTTTCACTTCACTTTACAGGATCAAACTGTGATCAAATAAAAAATGGTGATGATTAAGAAAAAAAAAAAAAAAAAAAAGCATTAGCAAGCAACTTACTTGAATATCTCACCTGACCCTGCTCGCTCTTCCCCCAGCTGTAAACGATCTCCATTGCAGAGCTGTAGTTGGTGACCTGCTGTCTCTAAAACTTTCTGTCTGTCTCTGCATCCCATTGCAACATGGGAGAGATCCAGTGGCAACAGCCTGTGTCCAACTGTCATAAAAATGTTTCACAGTCATGCTCATGTTTCTGGATGGATTACACTAAATTTGGTAAACAGAGGTAACAAACAGCAACTCATCTGTCTGCAGCCTAGCTGCAGGGAGCAGCTTGTTGTTGCAACTGTGTGCTTGGAATTAATTGATGCAGGTAATGTGTGAATGCACCAGACCCTGCAAAACGGTTGCCTTGCTACATCAAGCCAGTCTTACCCCTGTGAAATCAGTTTTACTGACAGCAGCTGTATGAGATGTTTTGCCAACAGAAACCATGCTGATTACAAATTTCACCCCCACACATCTGCAGCCAATATTTCTATAACACAGTCAGGTTGGTAACATTAACAAGCTTTGAAAGGCATTTTTGCCTGACACCTCCTCACTTCCAAATATCATTTGGCACAAGTTTGTTTGCTTCCTGCATGCAGAAAGTGATGCACATTAGTCCTCACCTCATGAAGAAAATGAAGAATGTGAAGAGGGCTCAAGAAAAAACAGCATGTGATCATGGCTAGGTTTCATTTCATTGTAGTTAGATTTTCACTCTGAAACAGTTACTTTCATTGCCAGCTAGCAATGCAAGGGTGCATTAAGCATGAAAAGGTGGTTAGCTTTTTCTGTTAGCTTGATCATGCCAGTCTAAATGCAGTAATAACTTCCTCAAACGGTGACCACATTGCTTCACTGCTCCTCTCAGCAGTTACAAGCTCATTTTAAATGTTCAGATTTCTGAGATTGGCTTGAAATAAACCCATGCTGCACGAACAGGTCCTTCCTTTAAATCTTGCCACGAAGTGCAGCAGCAAAAGCAGACACTGAGAAATGCAACAGTTTCTAACTACATAGTTGGTTGCACAGGAATGATAAGCTCAGTAAGGCTTCAGTTGTCATTTTCTGGGTATGAGACTTGCCTGCTCACATTAATTTTCTAGTTCTTGCAGTAGGTGGACCCTGCAGTAGATCTTCTGGTTACTTTTGCAATCACATGAAGCTGAAACTTTAGCAAAACACAACCAGAAGAAATGTGACACTAGCTCTATGAAGTTAAAAGAAGAAATTCTTCATTTACTAGAAAAAAAGAAAAAAAAAAAAAGCATTTGCTTAATGTTAGCACAGGTATTATTCTATGCAGGAATTACAGATCACCTCTAAACATGCAGCAGAGATGTATTTGCAGGCTTGCTGAAGCCCTTGCAGAGGATCAATGTGAGTGGGATACTTCTGCACATGAAGGGTTGTGTTTTCAAATATGCTTGGACAAAAAAATACTTTTCAAAGGCAACCAGCATTTAGTTTAGTTACAGAGAAGTCAAGAGATGCACTTTGTTTGTAAAGCCTTTTTATTAAAGAATTTCATGTTAACAGTGTTTTTGGGTTGTCGGTTTGTTGGTGTTTTCATTGTTGTTTCAGTTTGGCCTTGGCATTTGTACATAAGCTAGAATTACCAGCAAAACCAACCTTGGTACCGTGTATAGCAGAGATGGAATAACAGTTTACAAACACGTAGATAAAATCCCTTTTAATTGTTATTTGGAATCTTTGTTGATGTTCTTATTCATGAGGATAAGCATTTGCTTATTTTTTTTTCACCCTACAGCATAGGAAGAAGTTGCTTGCTTGCAAACATTCTCAAGCATACAAAGGTTATGATAACACCATCTGTTCAGATGGTGGAATAACTTTGTTTGCTGCAGTGTAAATTTGCATGTTTTGCAGTCAAAGTTGTATAATGTTGCAAAATGTCATCCTTAAAAACACAATTAAACAGTTTTAACTTCATTGTTTGGGATGTTTTGCCAGCTGATGTACTTACTTCTTTTCAGGTTTTCTTGCTATGAAACTTTCATATAAAACCGTGGACACTGGTGTTCTGTAACATCAGTCTAGAGCCATGTCAGGATTCAGTTTTGGATTGGAACCAAAATATTCAGGGGGTTTTGTATAAGCAACTGCAATTTCCAGGCCCATGCGAGGCCTTGGGTTTCACTCTACACTATGTACCTATTGCACAAATACCTTATGGCACTGAGGAAAAATTAAAGAAAAACACAACTCAAACTCCCCTGCGGCATACATATGTATGTATCTATATGTATGTATCTATGTGTATGTATCTATGTGTATGTATCTATGTGTACGTATCTATGCGTGCACTTATGAGTCAATGCTGGTTATGCTTTCTTCCATTCTTAAAACGTCCCAAGAAGAACATGTGGTTTTGTGACTCTTGAGCATCTGTGGCTGGACCAACGTACAGCAATCTCTTTTACATAACACGGAGCCCAGCAAATTTTCAGAGGCTTACAGGTTTAGCATTAGAAAACCAAGCAGTAGAACTATATCTCAAAGATGTAGAGACTAATTTATTTGGTTAAGATAGGAATATGTAACAAGAAATGAACACAATGAGTTAACATTTATGTATTTTACTTAAGTTTATAATACAGAAAGTTAAAATATTAAGTACCTTCCCTCCTATCTTGTAATACTGTTCTTGCAAAACTGACCAGATAGTCTCTTCTGGCTATGTAAGAGTAAACAAAATACCACAGCATTGAAATAACTTCCAATTACTGATAAACCTAAAAAAGCAGTACCCCAGCTTATACCTACAGGAAGCACAGAGGTAACTTTTCATCGAGCAGAAAGCTGTTTCCCATAGCTTTAAGATAAACTTTTTACTGAAAAAACAGAACAAGCCAACCTATCAACCAGCAACTGGTAACATAATATTAAACAAAATGTGAATGTATCTTATTGTTTCATATAAACATTTGTGGATTTTACCCTTACAAACAATACATACGTACATTTTTATTTTGTTTACTTATTCAGAAATTACTTTTGATTACTGTTTGAGAACAAAAATCAGTGACTGGTAATTCAGCATTTAATTGTGTTTAAGTCTGATAAGAAGTGGGTAAAAAATAACAAGAGAAGATCATTACAAAGAAACTTCTCTCACACAGTACCTGCAGGAAGATTAAGTTTATCCTTTGTGATGGACCGAAGGCAACACTTAGCCACTGCTGTTGTTCTTGGCTGATTCCTGTGGCAAAACCTACATTAACCAAATTTCTACTTAATTTTGGTTCCAGCTTTGTGTAAAGTCCTATTATCTACACATTTGTTTCTAACACTGAATTCCTCTTACTTAGCTTTATTGTCTTTTGTAGTAAAAGAATGCTACAGAGGGTAAAGTTAGCTATTTACTTGCATATGACAGCAATTTTAGTTGATGTATGCACAACCAAAAATATAAAAAACATTCAGAGTTGGCAGAGATAAAGGATACTTCCAAGTCCTAATCATTAAATGATGACTAATAATGTGCAAGAAAGCATACATTTTCAAACTGCATAAGAAGGTGATTCATTATGCTTTTTCAGTGTATTTTCAGAGGTGCTGTTCAACACTGATCTACTGTGGAATCTGGTTCTACCATTGTTATAACCAAGACACTTAGCATAAACTAATGGTAAGAATACTGAAAGAAAAGCTACTCTGAGCCACTGAGGGCAATTTTCTTTGACAAAATGCAATAACTAATAGCTGTTTTTTATTTGTTCAAATTGCTAACACCACATAAACATAAATAAAAATGTAAAATATACAGTCTCAGGGCCCACAGTACAAGACAACACTATAAAAATATGGGATATGGACTATTTCAGAAATAAAGGAAAAAAATCTACCTGGAAAGATATTTTCACTTTCTTCATAGAATAACGGTTAGATGGACACACTCCTTAAGTAAGAAATTTAACCTGTATGATACAGTTGAAAATCCTACAATAGGATTTCATGATATCCCCATAATAAATTGCACTAACAATTTAAATATTTGTCTGTAAAAAGGACTTCATCTAAAAAACAGTCAACAGATACTATTAAGAAATACTTTTCTCCTCAACACTAATCTATTTACAAATACAGTACACAAATACATACACTTGTACTAAATTGGGTTGTGCATTACTGTAATGAAACTATGTTGCACAACTTGGTATAAGCTTCTGCACTTCTTGGATATAGTATCTCCTTATTTGACTGAACTGTATACAAACTAAGCATGTGTAAGACACATGATCTCACTGTATTACTAGTAATTTGCTGTAGACACTGTTATTTGCGTTAGTAGAGCACGTGCCTCTTCTGCTAGTGGTAGACATTGATTGGCCACTGCTGTTACTGCTGTTAGGATCTAAAGTCTCTTTACAACTCAAGAGACTAAACAGTTGTCTCTGATACTGAGAGGAAGCATAGTAGTAAATAAAGGGATCAATGCAACAGCTAACACTGCTGATGCATACACAGAGTAGATAGGCAAAGTAGAGATACTCTAAACTGTTGTTGTATGAAAAATGGATATAGTGAATTAATAGCAGGACATTGGTTGGCCCAAAACAAATGACAAAGACTGAAAAAACGGCCACACACAGGAGCAAGGCACGTGTCTTCTTATTTTGTCTTGCAACAATACTAGAAGAACTCAGGCACCGAATGATACACACATAACAGATGGTAGATATTATAAATGGCACTACAAAGAAAACAGATGAGAAGACAGAGAAAAAGTGTACGTAATAGCCGTGAAGCTCAGATTCCCTTAACACGTCATGGCAGGTTGTGATATTCAACTTGGGTATTTCCATAGTTTGCTCTCTGATGAGAAAAGGTACAACTCCAGTTATTGCTACCAACCATATGATGAAACAAATCACTGAGGCACGTGTTAACGTACGCCAGCCAAGAGCCTGCATGGGGTACACCACTGCCAAGAAGCGATCAAAGCTTATGCTTGTCATGAGCATTATTGAGCAGTACATGTTACAGTAGAAAGCAGCAGTGACGAAGCGGCACATCCGAGGTCCAAATACCCAGTTGTTTCCAGAGAAATGGTAAGCAATCTTGAAAGGGAGCACACTTACAAACAGTACATCTGCAAGAGCCAAATTCAGCATGTAAACTACAGCTGGCTTTTCAATTTTCATTTTTTTCAGAAACACAAATATGGCTGTAACGTTCAGAGGAAGGCTGAGCACAACCACTAATGTGTAAACCGAAGGAACAAAACGGGTCAGCCACGGACTAGTGAGATATCTTGCTGTTTCCACTGACACTGTTCGTTGTTCATGTGGAGGTGATCTACTCTGATTGGTAGATCCTAATCCAACCTCTGAATCATTTTCAGCACTGTTTTCAATATCTTCCACAGGTATAGGTTCACCACGGTCAGGTATCAGGAAAGTTCTGCCCCTTACGCTGCTGTTGTTGTATGCGTGGTCTGAAACATAAGAAGGCACTGAGATTAGAAAGCAAATATATACATGCAGTGAAGTGAAAATATCTTTCAATGAGGAAATCTAAAATCATATTAGTAACACAAAATAATGCAGCTAATTTCTTATTCAAAGCGTGGTCTGCTCACAGATATTGGTCCATCTTTTTTTGTTTAGGTCCTGTTACATGTTTGGGTAAAATGCCCTCCACAAACACTTAACTCTCATCTTCTAAGCTCCTTCTGACAGCAACTGAATTCTCTTTCTGCTTAAGAAATCAATCTCATATATGTGGGCTACTTTAACACAAGAACTATAAAGTTGCCATCCACTGATTTTCTTTGTCTGACCTTTCATACGTTTTCTAAGAAATGAGGTACTGGGATAAACATGGCACTCATACCCAGAATTCCTGTTAGAATTATATGTCACTAAAGTAACAAAAAGCTAAAATGCAACTGAAACACTGAGTTACTGAGATATTTCTGTAGTCTCTGGAGACATCCCAATGGCCTGATGAAGCTAAAGTTAGATGGCAGATGCCTTCCTGCAGCTGTCCTTGCTGGCATGAATCAGCTTTCTGCCTATGCTGAACAGGTAGCCACAGCTTGCATTGATTGAAACACTCCAGCAGCTCTACTTATTGTAATCTGCAGTGTACTGAGGATGGCATGCTGGATAGTGCTTTATAGCACTTCCAAAACCTGCCACGAGGGTTGTCTCCACAGCCAGTTCCTCTGCAGTATGGTTCAGCGACTGCTAGTGAAGATGAGTCAGAAAAGGGTGTCTGCCTTTGGAATGTAGCCATAGCAAGTTAGGAAAGTGAGAATTACAGGGAGTTGAACGTGTGGCAAAGGCATACATACGTAAAAACAAACAAAACAAACATCAGGAGAGTTACCGTAGATACTATTTCAGATAATTTTTTGGAGAACTGTTCTGGAAGACCATCATTTTCAGCTTACTGTAGTTAGGTGTAGGTTACTTGAGATGTTCTGTAAGCTGACAGAAGTGACAGCTACTACTGCTTATAGTAGCACTGCTTATAGTAGGCAAATGATCTCTTGAATTCTAGACTACCAAAATAAAAATTAAGTTGAGTAAGCTTGAATCAGTGAGCTGAAAATACTTAGGCGTAACTCACCCATCTAAAGATGCTGTTCTTTAGATGCAGTTGCTTGTTCTACAGTAATTTAAATCATTTATTTTTCAATGCAGATGAGAACAAAAGCATCTTAACGAAGCAGGTGGTAACAAGAGCAGTTGTAAACAGCCAACTGCTAACCTTTGTGAGCAGCTACACGAGAGGAACCTTGTGCATCTTGAACGTTAGTAAAATGTGGGATGAAATCATAGCAGTGGTAGAGGGACTTGGGGATTTTTAGTTTTTAAAGCAGTATCACACTGCATCACAGCAGCATCCTGGGAGATGGGGGGAGGGGTGGGTAGCACAAAAGAGGGGATGTTTGAGATAACTGTTTTTGTGTATGATGTTATTTGATTGCATCCTCTAAAGTTCGGAGAGAAAAAAAAAAGTTGCTGGGAAAAATTCAAACCTCGGAAATTGCTGTGTAAACTGAAGTGGGAACTATCTACGAAAACACAAAAGGCAAAGAAGTACAAGAGATTTAGTATACAGTGTTTGCACAGAAGGGCACTACACAAGGATCTACTACAGAAGGATCTGGAGTTCATTCCAACAGAAAAGATTATCAAAAGGCAGAACTACAGATCCCCCGTCTTTCGTGATTTTAGACCTTTAGTCCAAGTCATTAGACGGCTTGAATACTCAGCTCTTAGTTAAGCAGTTCAGATGCAGTGTAAGTTATTTTTAACATCTCTAACTTGAGCCTGCAGCTATCTGAATAGTCATGCAATTTCCACTGCTTAGTGATTATGGCAAGAGAAACCTGTCACAATTGACACCGATGGTGTTCACCTCCCTTGGAAAAATCAGAACTGTATGCAACTGAAAAATAAGAACACCCTGATTTCTCCTGCCGAGAGACAAGTCTCATAGTAAAGCTTTGAGACATCAGTAGGAGTGATGAAAAAGCTCTAATTGTACCTCTCATCTCTCCAGTACACACCTGTTTTATAACTTCAAATACCTGTTTCTTCCATTGCTGTTTCTAAAACCAAAAACTTCAGGAAAGGACAAAGATGACATCCCAGACCCCAGAGCTCCTTTCTGGTTCCTCCTTAGCCAAAGCACAAGGAAGACGTGACACGGTTTCACATCAGGCAAGCATGTTTCAGAGGAGAGCACAGATATAAACACCTTGGTGAGAACAGAGCTGTATTTGGAGACGAGAACTGTGCTACTGAGGTCTACAGGACATGGGAACTGAAGTGTTGCTGAAAAGCACTTCTCATTTCCCTGAACCCCAAACTGCAAAGCACTCCACCTCTGCTGCCTCACCACAGCTGGCAGTGCTGCAGTGAAGCAACGCTGCTATGTCTCACTTTTTGAGGACTTGCAAGTGAACTATGTGAACCCACAAATCCATAGTGACTGGCAGTTAAGTCACTTACAGCCAAAATTCTTGCCAGTAACTCGTCTTACTTCTTTGCAGTGACTCATCAGAACAGTATGAATAAGCTGTGAGAAAAATGACTACTGGGAGAGTTTCTATTTACCAGCCACTGAACTCTGTTTGGCTATTCCTTATAGTTACCTAAACATTGCTAATAATTTTATTACGTGCTGAATTCCTGGAGCTAACCTATTTACAAGATGAATTAGAGACTGAAGTATTTTGAGTTTGCATTACTCCATTATCAAACTTTTCTAGAAGTAGAAACCTATTAGAATAATTCAGGACAAGAACATTCCGTAAGTAAATCGAATTCTATTAACATTATCTGAAATAACACTTAGCAAAAACTACGTATTCTTCATGTAAGCAGTGACTTAATTTTGAGCTTAAAACTCAACCCTGACGCTGTTACAACACCATGTCCTTACCTTAAACTTAGATGATACTTGAAACTCAGCAGCACGGGAAAATGGGATGAGACCTTAACCTTGCTGTTAATCCACCTCTCTTGAGAGAGCAGGAATTTAAACTTTCTTAATGAAGTTCAATTTAATCTTAAGATATCGACAGCCACATACCAGCTCTTTTCCTTTACAAAGATATTTGTTTGAACAACCCACGTGTGTACACCATTAGAAAAACCAACAGTGCTTTTCATGCATGATAAAACAGAAAGGAAGAATGTTACTGCCCGGGGGTTCTGGATTCCTTGTGTGTCAGTGTTTACTCGAAAAAGCCAATGATCAGATCGGGCAGAGGATGAAATGGCAACGTATTATTTTAAAAGATTTTAATGAACCTTGACAGTAAATGTATGATGATCTGTAACAGGAAACAAACTTTACTTATAAGCTATGACAGCATAGCAAAACAAATGCAGCAGCTCTACAGAAAAGATTTTAAAACTACCAGTTACAGCTATGCCAGAATCTTCTTGGTATTGTCTGAGCTGTATAAGATGTCACACTGTATGTCTCTAAAATACATTTGGCTACAGCTTAAGTCATTTTTAGCCACAGAAATAATTTGTTAGAACAGAAATAAAGGTTTGATAGCATAATGATCACAAGCATTTAAACAGTCATCCTGCTTTTGCTAGGCTGACACCCAATCCTCTGGAAAGAGGTCAAAACTCCAGGATTATTATTTTGATAATTAATGGCATTCTAACTGACTTAATAGCTGCCTGTACTTATGATGTATGAAAGAGCCCTGGTTTAATAAGAATGATGGGATAAATCACTGAAGTTGTATCCTCGTGGTTTGTCATCAGGACACTGCGCTACACACACAGTTTGCTTCTAACAAAAAACTTCAAAAGGTAAAAATACTCAGTAGCTTGAATTTTCCTTTTACCGCCTGTGATCCTTACACTAATTCAACAGGGCACAGGGAAATGACACAGAAAGCTCAGTAAGTTGGGGACCGTTTGTCTTTAACAAACTATAGTGTTCTGTCTTCCACTGAATGCTGTTATTGGATTTGTGGTTATCATTCACATATTCTGCTTACCCTGACAGATGATGCTTTGTTTTACACAGCGCTATTTTGTAATTTCATTTCACGTCTGCTCTCATAGGTAAGGAGCTACTGAGTACTGTACTGTGCGAAGAAAAGTAGAGAGCAAACAATACAACAGCTTCAACCAATCTCTAAAATTGCCCCACATCACCCGAGCACCAGGAGAAAATCTGAAGTATTTCTACATACTCATTTATAAACAAGCAATATTTATCTTCATCTCCCAGTGGTTGTTTTTATGAAGTGGAAACTAAACATTGGTTAAGCCAGTTAAAGATGTGCCACTGGACAACCATTTATACTGATTTCTGGACATTACTCGTTGTGGTGCTGCACCACTGGCTTACAACAAAAACTGTTTCTTGTATCTCCCCTTTGTATAACCTGCATCTAGAATCTAAATTTTTTAGTGGCACATAAATTAGGTAAAGATTGATTGAGATGTGCAAGTGAGACATGTTCATAAGGAAGATAATTTTATAGGAGAGATAACACTGCTTTTGTAACAATAAACACCATTTTTTTTTTTTAAAAGATATTCTTTGTCACATCTCTCCATTTATACAGTATTCATTGCTGTATGACACAAATGATGCAGTAGCAGTTTTAACACACCTTACTGAAGTAGCATTTTCTTGCACACTGTTCCTTTTTGCTTTCCTTTCTCCATAGTTTTCACTACAGGTGCTGGTTCCGAGCCATGGTAACATCTCTCTTTTCACCCACCTATCCCCACACAGGAAAGCGTGGGCCAGTTCAGACCTCAGCCAGCATGCTGATTGGCCCTTCAGAGGCAAAACCTGAAGAGCTCACAAACAAGTGCCCAGCACCCACTGCAAAACTGCCTTTTATTCTGTTTGCAGGACCAGCTGAGGCCAACGAGGTGGGAACTGTGGATACTGAGGGAACAAGGAGACAGCAGGGGTGAAGCTGCAGGTGCAAGGGCAGAGTGAGCCTAGGGACAGAACAATGCAAATGAAATGGGAACTAAGTACATTGTGGTGAAAACAGGGCTGCTGTATGGGACAGTGGGGAAGTGACACTGCTGTGGGAGTGGGTGAAAGGAGAGAGAAGACATGCTCAGGTGTTGGGCTTTAATGCTTCTACTGTGCATCAAATAATGTGAGTTCTTCTTCCCTTAGCCTGAGTGATATCATACAGTAACTATGTTCTTCATTGTTTCCTAAGGAAGCAGCAAATGAATGATGAGCTTTAGGATGTTCTTTAATGCAGTCTACACTGCAGAAGGCAGGAAAACAAGCTTGGATGTTTCTTAAACTGGAATAAGAGCATTCAGCAGAACAGTCTTCTTCCAACATTAACTTCTGTAGTTTGTGATTACCTCCCACGCATACATTCCCCCCTTTTCTTTCAACAGGGACACTTCCGTTCCCTGCCAGCATAAACACAGTCGTGGCCTCTCTATTCCCTCATGTCTTTGTGAGGATAAGCTGTATAACAGCACTAGGTTTCTCCCTCTGGTCCTCTCCTCCCAGCACAAGCACCAGCTCAGTTCTCTTTCAACCCGTTTCAGCAGGCCTACCCCCAGCTGCAGACCCTCCATTCTTCTGACCAGCTCCCTTGGCAGGAGCACTGCGCTGAAAGAAGCGTTAAACAGCACCCTGCAGAAGAAGAACCCTTGCTATCTGCAAGTGCTTAACTCAGTTCTGCACCACTGCACCTCGGCTAGAATCCACGAGGCTCCACACACGTCTTCAGCACTCCTTCCTTGCGCACTGCACTGTCAAGTCGGGATCTGAGCCAGACTGGTCCGAGGTCTCACCTGGCAGAGCGCAGGCTGTCATTAGCGCTACTGCTAGTTAAACAAAGAAGAAAGCCAACTAATCGGGGAGCACGCTCTGAGCTGGCTGGTGCTGGCACATCTCCCCGCCCGGCGCTACCTGTACAGCTCCTCTGGGGGCTCCCGGAGCTGTCAACGCGCTGCCGGGGCACCCAGCGCCGCATCCCGCCTCCTCGCCCCTTCCTTCCTCCATCACCTGCTACCGCTCGGCCGCCCCTCAGCCGCGGGATGGACCACTCTTTGTCTTCAAGCACCTCTCCTGCGGCACGGCCGGAGCTTTCCGGCATCTGTATTCCAGAACTACGGCGCATACTAAAAAAAACCAAACCCAATCAACAGTTATCTGACCAAAGCGCAGCTATCCGCCCGGCGCCCGGGCTCTCACGTTTTGGCCACAACGCCTCACGAGCACACCCACCGCAGCGCTTCAGGGCGCCGAAGCGAGCGGGCTCTCCCCCCGCCCGCCCAGTCCGGCTGCACAACCGAGCCGAGCCGAGCTCCCGCCCGCCTCCAGGCAGCCCGCAGAGTGGCGACCCCGCGACTCACCGGTTCGGGCGGCAGCGGCGGGCGGTGAGATCGGGCAGCTGAGGACGGCTAGGGCGCAGAGCAGCGCGGGCAGCCCCATGGCCGCCGCCTCCCTGCTGTCCGTCCGTCCCGGCCGTGCCGGGAAAGCGAGTGAGGCCCGGGCGGAGCAGGGCCGCCCCTCGGCCGCCGCTGGGAGAGGCGGGGGCGCCTTCCTGCCTGGCGGGGCGGGACGGACTCCGGTGGGAGGGCCGAGCGGTGCCGGGTCCGCCGCCGGGGCTGGGGGAGGGGGGAGGGGACAGCGGGAGGTGCTGCTGTCCCGGTGGTGTCCCGCAGGTAACGAGAAACGCAAAACAAAGGGATTCAGCCGAAAGTTTGCGCCACGCTGGATGCACAAAACAACCAGACCCTACTCCTCAACCGCATGGCTCTCACGCCCGCTTTGTTCTGTGCGCGGCTGCGCGCTGGGCGGAGCTGCTCCGAATGCGGCCGCACCTGTGCGGGTGGAGGCACGGGGCTGCCCCTCCGCGTCGCTCGCGGGTGGAGGACTGGTGTGCTGGCAGAACTGCAGTGGGAGACAGCTTTCCCGCTATCGTCTAGGCTGTGTTTGCTGACAATGCTATGGCACTCCACCGGTAGTTTGAGTGTATTTTATTCCTGAGGTATGTGCTGCCGTCGTAAGCATTACGCGTCCCGTGATTTGCTGGGGTGTGCAGCCCTGTCCTCAACTTATACATTTGTGTTTACAGCAATACAGAAATAACGGGAGGAAGGCTCTGTTCAGAACTGGATCACTTACAGGACGTCGTGTCATTGCTGCAGAAACACTGATACTTAACTGAGAATAACAAGGATGGGAAGTCAACTCTTGACAGCGAGTATCGATGCCCAGTCAGTTCCAGTTCTGATCTCATCTTGTCCTGCAGCACACTTCCCACAGTTCTGCCCCTGCTCCACGTTACCACAGTTACGGCTGACCTCTGTTTGCATGAAGCAAGAAGCGTGATAGCCGTACTGCTAGCCAGCACTTCTGCTGCTAGGTAAGAGGTGGTTGCTAGCAAGAGACACATCCACGATCAAATAAATCTCTGTCATCCTTGGGCATAGTGGGGAGCCCACAGAAAATAGCTTATTTAATCACGGACTCAGTTTTTATCAATTCAGAAAATACTTTAATCAGAGGTTAGTGCTTTTTTTTTCTGTTTTGGAAGATCGAGTGAAGCCACAGACGGTACTTCTGCGATCTTGCTGCTGTATAAGAATATGTGAAGGTAGCATAACAGCAGAGGCTTTCATAGCCAATGTTATCTTTTTAGTGTATGAATAAACAGAAGCTATTTGTGATCCGAACTGATCTTCCATGCTGCAGTTTTCATAAAGCTGCAGCAGCCAAGAGACATGCCTTCAACAGTATTTGCTGGTGGGAATGTCTATGCGGGGAAAACTCACTGTGCCACTCATGTAAACACCAATTTTTTTTTAGCTATTACATTGCATACAGTTCTGAAGCATTACTCTGCTCTTCTACAAGTTGAGGAAAATCAACCAAATTCTCTTCACTGAATGAAATTCAGACACCCTGTGAACACTTAGAACTTTGTGTACGTGCTTTCTGTCAGAGGCACTCCATTTATGTAGTCTGTATTTATTAGACTCAAATGTGGTTTTAATCTTTGTAAATGCACACAGCAGAGTGACATTAATGACCTAAATGTAGATGGCCCTGAAAAGAGTATGTATAAACAAACACAGAACTAACTAACACACCATATATAGTAAAAACATGCCATGAACCTATTTCCATTCCTTGCAGATGTAGCAGTATGGTAAGAATTCTGTTTTACTGAGAAATGCAAAAGGAAACATCTTGCCAAGAGTTCAAACTGGAGATTAGAGAAGTGACAGATTAAGATCTGGAGTGGGACTACATCCTCAAGTTGCGAGGATTTTTGTGCTTTGAACACTAGTTTTTTAGAGAAGCATTGCACTGTTTTCCCCAGTATTCACAACAGGCCAAATTACTCTGACACACACTTGAAAATAAGCAGATATTTTCATTCTAGTAGACTCTTTCATAGCAGAAACTGAGGCTTCAGGAAGTCTGTTCTCACTGTTGTTCAGTGCCAGCACAAGAGGCACAAATATGAGCACCACCTAACACTTCTGTGCTATGCTGTGTAGGTGGCAGAGCACTGGCATAGGTTGTCCAGAAGCTGTAGGATCTCACTATTGGAAGTTATTGCGGGTAACCCAGCAGGCAGCTAAGCAGCTGTTTGCTCTCTTGCTCACTCCCAGTGGGATGTCGGAGAGAAAAGGGTAAAACTTGTAGGTTGAGGTAAAAACTATTTATTAAGACAGAAATGGAAGAGAGAAAGAATTCTAATGATAATTTTATAAGTAAGCAAATAAGTAAATAAACATATGTTTACAAAACAAGTGATGCGCACCACAATTGCTCACAACCCACTGACCAATGTCCAACCAGTCCCCAAGCAGCAGCTAGCCTCCCCCAACTCCCCTCAGTTTTATAGCTTTTTCAAAGCATACCATATATTATGGGACGTCCCTTTGGCTGGTTTGGATCAGCTGCCCTGGTTCTGTCCTTTTTGAGTTCCTTGTGGTCCCCAGCCCCTCATTGGCAAGAAAGTAAGAGAAGCTGTAAAACTGAAATGTCCTCAGCTCTGTGCTGCAGTGTTGAGCAACAGCTAAAGCATTGGTATGCCATCAATACTGTCTTTCTCCCAGAGCTGAAACAGAGCATCAACAGAGCTCCAGACACTATGAAGAAAATCAACTCTGACTCCAGCCAAATCCAGTATAAATGTCTTCAGAAGCCACCTGGATGTGGTCCTGGGCAACCTGCTCTCAGTGTCTCTACTTGACCAGATGAGCTCCAGAATCACCTTATGACCTCACCATTCTGCTGTAGTGTGCAACCACATTCCCATCTACAGCAATCAGACTATTTGACACATCTTAATGAAATTAATCATTGCTTTCCAAACTCTTTTTTCCCTTGTGTCAAATTTATAAATTGGATTTAAATTTAAAGTGCCATCAGTCCAGTCTGGGATGATGGCTTTTTCTCCAAGAAGTATCCTTCCAAGTGGTTTTGAGCTGTTCTGAAGGCTGAAAGAAAACGACAAAACTGATGGCTGCTTCAAAAATTCGATAATGCCCTGGAGACAGAAAGAAAAAAATGACACAGTGAAGCTAACAGATTATCTGTATTTTTTTTTTTCTTCAAGAATCTCATTTGTCTGATCTACTGTTACACATCTGGAGACATGTCCAAGAAGTATCCGTAAGTGCCTACCCTTAGTGCCCTGAAGATACTTTGGATGGGGCAGCTTCACAGTGTTGTGTAGAGATTTGCATCTGGAATCAAGGTCAGGTATTTGGAGCAATGTGCTACGCAGTTGACTTTCAGTTTATAAGCTAGGAACAAGTATCAATTAAAGAACTTTCTGCAAAGAAATTAGTCAATTTTTTTTTTTTTTAACTTCAAATATATGAGTTTATCATGTTTAAATATTCATCATAATAGGGGGTGGAATGAGCAGAAGGCTGCATGGTACTTCCCTGTCTGCGGGGTTAAACCACAGTATAAACATATATTTTTAAATGTTTTACTAGACCTCAGCAGAAATACACACTTACAAGTTCTAGGTGTCTTTACTAGTGGGCCACTGGTTGGGGATAATCCACACACCGCTAAATCCATGAAAGATGTGAAGGGAAAGTCATGTCATACTCACAGCAAAAACTTTCCATTCTGGCATAAGGAACAGATTCAGGGCTCTATGTTCAAAAATCTTATTTATCCCTTATTTATTTATCCCTATTGCTCTCTTCTGGCACCTGAAAGGTTCCTACAGTGAGAATGGGATTGGTCTCTTATGACTGGTGACAGGACAAGGGGAAATGGCCTCAAGTTGTGCCAGGGTAAGTTTGGGCTGGATATCAGAAAACACTTCTTTACAGAAGGGGTTGTTGAATAGGCTCCCCAGGGAGGTGGTTGAGTCACCATCCCTGGATGTGTTTAAAAACCATTTGGATGTGGTGCTTGGGACATGATTTAGTGGAGGGTTGTTAGAGTGAGGGTAGTATGGTTAGGTTGTGGTTGGACTTGATGATCTTTATGGTCTTTTCCAACCTGAGTGATTCTATGATTCTATGTTCTTTGTACCACTGTAAGGTGGATTACTATAGATACAGGAAGTGAATAAAAAGCCCTACTTTTTAGGATTTTCTGTTTGCACCAAATTAAAGTCTTTTGTATCCTGTAGTTATGCTGTAGTTATGCAACTCAACTTGTTACTTTTTCAGTCTGGGTAAACTAATTGTAAGGGAAGTGAAGAGTTCATGGATTCTAAAACTTGTATCACTTTTAAATTCTGTTTTTTCCATCTTTCTCAGCTTCTTGTTTTGCTTTTTTTTTTTTTTTTTTTTTTTGGTAAGGAGTATGTTATATTGCAGTATTGCAGTGCTTCATTCCTCTACAACGTAGCAGGTCAACCAAGAAATACCAAGATAGCCTAGAACAATCTAGTAGCATTGCTGTGTCAGTGAGGAAGCAGCCATTTTTCTAATGGTCAGGAGCTACGAGATCACAATGGTGCAAGACTCAGGTTGGTAGTTACTGCTCTAAAAAGGAGACGCTAGAAGCTTATTTTAGAGGCAAAACCAGTCCCCCAGGTCTGGGAAAAGGCTTGTGCTGTCTACATAGTCTAGAACTGTTTGAAGTCATATGTGACTGTTTCTCTTCAAATTTGCTGTTAGGGGGAAGCTTATTTTGTTGCTTCTGCTTTCTTCTAAGGCTGCTAAAGAAGGTTTGCAGATAGGCATCCAGTAAGACAGACCACAAGCTGTCACTTGTAATAGTGTTCCTCTTTGCTTGGCCAAATAAGATAGACGTTCTCTCTGCAATTCTGTGGCTTGTTTTAGAGCTTCAGAGTTCTATCAGAATGAACAAGCTCGAACAAACTGAGTTAATTGTAAAGCACTTTTGGTCAACTCTAAAAATCCTATTTTTAGAGGTAGAAAAATGTGAACTGTACAGCTGTCAGCCAAAGACCACTGGTTATTATAATTTCACTATTACTATCTAAGAAAAGAGACTTAAAAACAGACAGGAAGGA